TGGCCAGGTCTCGCAATATCGCGACACTGGTATCCATTCGATGTAATTAAATGTCGCGTAATGATTGACGAACCACCGCGTCGAGAACAGTCCACACGACGGCTACGTTTCAGCACACGGGGGAAAAAAAAAAATAGAAAAAAAGAAAATGAACTGGGTCGTAGTCTTTCATCGAACGTCCGAACGGGTTAAGCTGCGCGATTGAAAAGCAGGATAATTTGTTTATAATTGTCACAGCGGACAGTTTTCGCGTTCAATTTACCGGCATAAATGTTGCGGTATCATTCTAAATTTTCCTCGATTTATCATTTCTTTCAAAACGGATAGAAATATCTGGATAACCCAATTTCGAATATTAGCTAATATTATCCCTCGATGGTTTATTCAGAGAAATCCGAATTGTTATCATTTGGCATGAATGTTAACAGACAGAATAATCAATATTTGACGATACGACCAAAATTCACCGTTCTCTGTATACGCTTATGATGTTGATTTAGTGTATACGATATTGCCAGACAAATAGGCCGCCTCGTAGATATTCGATTGCTCTTTCGTCCGTTGTTTATTTAATCGTCGACAGCCTATAAATTCGCGGTACGACCACTTTATTTCACCCTTTGTTGTTTGACGCGTGAACGCGACCAGATTAAATGTAACTCGTTCAGCCTGAGGTTACACGTAATAGCCCGGGAATAAGCCGGACAGGTGTTGGGAATTTTCCAGCAATTTTCCAGTCGCATTGATTTTATATATTCTTTATGTCATCAACATCACGGGCAGTGTTTACCGTGTGCTCGTTGAAATCAGTCACTCTTCGTTCATTTAGAGCATCGCTATCGAATGGACCGCGTTAATTCGACGCTAACCGCTCCTCGAGCTCTGAAACGTATCATTTATCCCACTCGGGCACAAATAGCCATTAAATCCGATCCGTTCACGCGGCTGGCAAACGGCTATACAATTTTCCCGTCTATTTCCTCGCGGACAAATTCATCGTCGCCCTCGACGACGCCTTTTCCAGCGTCTGCTTCGCCCGCAGCCTCGTCCACCCTCTTTTTTCCGCGCCATCACGAACGAATACGCGCGTCTCGCTCGCGAGCCTCGTGAAAGGTCGAGATTTCTGTTCAAACATTCGCGAAGCCTCCCTGAAGTTTCATGGAAATTCGTGACCCGCCCTGACCATTTCGCGGCGTTCTGTTGGCAAAAGTTTTCGAGGCTGCACCCTGTCGATTAACGCGTTAATTACCGTGGTGACAGTAGACATCTGTCGAATTCATTATTTTAAATTTTTCATCCTTGACTCCTTGTACCTCCTGCGAATAACCATCGAGAATTCTTAAATGGTTGCATCGTTAATACCGCTCATGGAAAATGCATCACGATGCAACCCTTTTAACCGCGAGAGTGAACGCTGTTAAATAATTAATCGAAGTAGAACGAGGTTACGAGGGAAAGCGGAAAAACACCGGCTACGGTCAGACGGAAAAGCAAATTCGTTGCACGGCCTATCGCAAAGGATAGCACATCGACACACATCGAACGAGGCTAATTCCATAAAAACTGTCTGGTCCGAAAAAAAAGAGAGGGAGTGACAAAAAAAAAAAAATGAAAGGGTAAAATTAGTCTTTATCAGGAATTTTCGTTCGCTCGTTCAGTGGACGGTATTGCATTCCATCCGGGAGAAATTGCATTACTTTGGAAAAACGACGTTAAAACGAGCCCTGAAACATGTGCCGGCGATATTTCTTTCGCGTGACATACCAGCTAGTCCGATAATGAAGTTTCTGCCTGTCGTCGGTCGTTATACAGCGTAAAAATGTCCAATGAAACTCTTCTTTCGAAATGGCTATTAGCAAGCGAACTGGCTCGATGCATCGATTTGCATTCGTCCGCTTTGAACCAGTCAGCTCCCTAAACACTCTTGCTACCAGTAGACGAATACATTAATAGAGGATGAAGCGATCGCGAAATGAACTCGTATCCTGTTGTCGATATCACGTTGATAAAAAAGATAACACCTATTTGGTATGCTTGAAGATTTTCACGAGAACGTCAAAAGGGTTCCGTGAACAATTCCGATCGATAACGAAATCAATCACTGTTTCGTTAATTCAGCAAACTCTCGCCTGGGATACAAGCGTTTCGAAGCGGATCCGGTGCTCGTTCGCTCCGGGGGAACGCGTTTTATTGCCGGCAGACAGCTTTTTTCAAATGCAAAAACGAAAAGTAACGGGCTGGCAACGAGCATTGGCGATGTGAAACGGAAACGGGCAGAGGGATAGAGGGTAGGTCTCCGTCGGAGGGTGAGAATTCAGCTGGTCCCTCAATTATTCGTGGACATCGATCAGCTGCCTCGGCGGACGGCGACAAGCGTCGTCCGCGTCGACGGCGTCGTGCCACGTGGAAAGGCAGTTTGGCAGGGCATGTGTCTCCTGAAAGAAACATCGTCGCCCCGACGATCCGCTAGCTCTAATGGCTGCGGGGTTAATCGCGACTAGGAGGCGAGCAAAAGCCGGAATAAACCCGCGTAAAGATTTATGAACGGATCGTGAAAAGAGGAGATTGCCGATTCGACGACGCGATTTCATCTGTCCGAACGGGACACGTCTGGCTGCTGATTGTTTCCCGAAGAGGTCGAACGAGCCGATATGGAGGAATCGAGCAGTTGGAACGAGCAAGAAAAAAGCAAACACGCGATTGTTCCAAAAAATCATCGAAAATCTCGAACATCTCTCGTTGGACAGCGACCGATTATTTACGGCTTTGAAAATATATTAAATTTCCTTCCGTTCGACAAAGAATCATGAATCGAATTTATATAAAAATTTGAAAAGAGATGAATGAAGATTTATGATCGCAAACAAGCTCCGGTGAAAAAGCTGAATCCAATATTGTCGATCCATCGTAGAAAGGAGCCCTTCTCTTTCTTAATTTATCGACTTCCAACGGTTCTCTCATTAATTATTTTCACGGATAAATGTCGTGAGTAACCAAAGTCATCCATCCCCTCGTAATCCCTGTGGAAATATTTTTTCAACTGGTTTCCTCGAACATCCCGTCCCGTTCTCCTGGTACGGCAGTGAGAAAACAAGGAAATCTATTTTAATAATATTTGATGTTTGAACATGGAAAAGTACAACTCGTTTGCCGTACCGGGACCGAACTAGGCGAAGTTTCAAACGGAAGTAGAGAAACTCGGTCTGTAGATAGAGGAATTGTCGGTGCACGGTGTCTAAAGCGGCAGAAAATTACCTATTGCAACCCTTTCCCCTTAAAGGGAAGGAAATTAAACGGTCGTAGAGGTACAGGATGTTTCTGAAATGTCTTCGAGCTTCGCGAGCGTGTTCCGTTAATTGTTTTACGTTTCCTTGCGGATCAGAAGGAGAAATTGCTTTTCTCTTTGAACAACACCCTTTAACCAGCTCGCGTGCCACTGTAACACGTGGTTACACCGAAGTAAATCAATCGACTGTCAAAAATTAGTATTTTCACGGCAAACTTTTTTTAATAATTCCAAGAATTGAATACGTATTTATTTCGCAAATATAATCTATTCGGTATTAATTCGCAAATGAAAAAGAAAATGATCGTGGTCGAAACGAGAATGTAGATGGAAGCAACGTTATTCCACTGTGACACAATTTTTTCTCTCCTTTAACGAACGCGTTTCCTCTCATACAAAGAGCTCGTTAATTAGAACCCCCTCGCTATGCGAGTACGTGTTTATAAAACGCAGCTAATTTCCGTCCTTCGAAGGCAATTAAATTTGTCATCGATATCGCAATTTTAACGCGTACCAACGGAGACGGTGAACGGTATTCGCGTTGGAGGTACGTCGGTATTCGAGCTAATGAACGAGGCGAAAGAACAAAACAAGAGCTCGTCTAGATGTAGAAGAAAAAATGAAAGGAGTTTCCATTTTCCCTCGGCTGCTACGATAATGATAATAATAATAATTACGAGCCCTTTGGCCATGCCATCCTCTCGCGACTCGTTGTCATTCTTTTCTCCTTTGTTTTCTTCTTGCCTTTGTTCCTTACGCTTTCTTCCTCTTCTCTTGGCTACTTTTATTTCCTCCGGATCGCAAGAGTATACCGGAAGCACGCTCGTAAATCGCCGATGAAGCCGAGCCAACAAGCCGATTTATTCGATTTATTCGACGCTAATGCCTTCGAAATCGAAATCCCGCCAACCACCTTTACGGATTTGTTTCACAAGATCGGCACGCGTCGGTTTAGTCGACGATTTACTGGCCAAAAAATGGTACGACAATTTTAAATGAAACTCTGCATTGAATTACTTATTTTCTTTCTTTTCTTTTTTATCTGGTTCCTTCTTCCCTATCTCGACCTTTTCCCACTTCTAATTCCATCAGAAGTTTCACGGTACCGGCGAGGTTTTTTCCTTTTTTACACAACGCCGCGGGAACATTTTGCCGTTTACTTAAAAATTGTTGCTGGAGCGGAAGGTTGTTGCATCGAGACTTTGTTTTTTTCCGTCAACTTTTCAAGGATCGTTTGGAAAGTTGAACGTTTGTTGCGGGCCCGTCGAACTTTCCAAGATTCTTAATTTCAATATCTACAACAATAACGGAGCCAAGAGAAGGATAATAGATTTTCCACTGGAGGGTGGATATTCCATTAAAATATCAGAGAGCGAAGTCGAACTTCTTTTCGTGTATCTCGAAATTTCATTTCATAGTAAAGCGGTATATATCCGTGATAACAATAACGATAATAAAAAGGAAATTGATGCGCGTTTCAAACTCTTCTATCCTCTCGTTATTTTTATTTATTCCTCGTCTGTTGCTGTTTTCGTTTTATACAAGCAGCTCGGTGGAAAAAAGGGTTTCATTTAAGCGAAACCCTTTTTCGGTCCGGACAAAACGGGGATCCTCTGCGTAGGATTCTGTTTATACGTTTATGTCGAACCCGTCTGTTTGTTCCGGCGCAACTATATTTGCACGCTCGACCAGGCTGAGTCAATTTCTGCTTTAGTTTCAGTGTCCGCGTACGATGGCGAGCAATTAAACTTGACGGGGATCACGCGCCATGAAATGGGCGCGTATCTGTGCATCGCGACCAATGGTGTGCCGCCAACAGTCAGCAAGAGGATCACCGTGGAAGTTGAATGTGAGTAACAATGAAATCATTCAGTGGTAGATCAACATCTTCCTGCTTGCTCCTTCATTAACGAGTCGACCTCCGCAGTAGTAGCGACCGTAATTAGTCAGACATTAAATATTTCAAGTTAATTTTATTTCTTAATTATTTGACCGAATTAAATTCCTAGTATCATCTGCAGAAAATAAACTAAGTGTAACAAATATTTTTCTACTTTATCATTAAATTTTAATTAGGAAGAAAATTCAATTAACATTAATTGATTTATAATACTATAGGAAGGAACGTAAGATTTCTCGACCAAAAATTCAATTTCCATCGATCAAAGAATAAACTCGAAAGCAAAACAGAAATGGAAGATAGCATAGTTCGTATTTCTATTTCGAAATCGCAGAAAATCATCTGGTAAACCAATGATACGTGAAAGTCGATACTCGTGTTCAAAGTTGTAGGCCACAAAAGTCAGACGAGAAAAGTTTCGGAATGAACCGGCCGTTTTTCCAGGGCGTGTATTGTTTAAATTTCATTTCACGAATTGCACGGTTGGCTCGCGATTCCGTGTACGAATCTCCGAGAAGGAAGGAAGGAAGGAAGGAAGGAAGGAAGGAAGGAAGGAAGAAGGAAAGAAGGAATGAGCGGCGGGCAGATGTGCCGTTAGAGAAAACCCAAGGGAAATAGCAGGCGAGCTTGTGCCCCGTCGCTCATGGTCATTTTTCCCTTTTATGCGTTCCATTCGTTCGTGTCAGGTTGCCGCGTTGCTGTGTACACGCAAGAGGAAAGCGAGATGCCATGGGACAGGTCGACTCTGTCCTTTGAATATTTAGAAGGGCGCGGACATATTTTATTTACTGCCGTGAGAAAACACTGTCTTTCGTGTCTCGCTCGCTGAACTCTACCTCCGGACACTTTTGTTACCCTTCTGACCCTTGCTGCAAGGTGTTTGAATAATTTTTATCCCTTACTCGGATACAATTCTCGACAAGCAATTTGTGTTCCGATATTCGCCATACATTTCTTATATTTGAATCCCTATTTCCTGACGTGTTACGTTCAAAATTCCTATCGAGAATTAACGTCGATCGGGGGCTGAAGATAAATCTACTTTCTCCTCGCGTTCTTTCACCTTAAGTCCTCGGATTATACTTCCTTCTTATACCCCTAAGCAAAACGCATTACTGGCAAGCTTCTTTTCTTAAATTACCCGGTGTTAGCGTTGAAAATTATTCTTCGTTTCGTACATCGACGCGATCAGCAGGAACCGATAGAGGGTCTCGGCCGCGGATGGACTTTTTGTGGGAAGTGAAAAATGAGGGGTGAAACGGTTATCTGGGATTACGGTGGAGGGAACGCGTGGCAAAAGATATTCGATCAACGCGCGGATTCGAGGTGTCCTTGCAGGATTATGGAAGGACCTACGATCGTCCCTCTTAATGTCCCTCCGAGTCTCCAGGGTATCATTATACAAATTCTAACCACCCTTGGACAGGCTAAAGTGACAAAATAAACGATTCGGCACGTCCGCGACACTTTCACCGTTTTACATTTTCTATCCGAGAAAATAAACGGTGACACACCGGGGAGCAACAAGTACGTAAAGCATCGTCACATGCTCGCCCATTATCCCCGAGTTTAATACTGTTAAAATACATAATCTTCTGATCGAATCATTCCGAAACGTCTAATCAATTCTCTGTTAATTCATCGAGAAACCATTCACGGTAGGATCGATCAATCTTGAATCACATTTAAACGACCCGTATAAAGTTCGCGTCAACGGCATTTTATCGACGATATATATGCAGGTGCGCAACATTGAAAAGGTTAAATTGTTATTGATGCAGGAAATTCTGAAAGCGCGAAGGCTGGTTGCATAGAGAAATAAGTACAGCGCCTGCATTTTTCAACCCCGTTCGCGTTATCTTCTGTCGCCGCAAAGCTGCCCCCTTTATACGTCACCGTTAATACTGTTTAAAGCTTTTCATAATAAATAAACCGTGTCCTCGAAGAGTATTAAATGCGACAAAGATTCAAAACCCTCGTTTGCAAATGCTATTAAATTTTTCTACCTCAAAGACTTTTGTGTATTATGAATAATATATGTTCATTGCGTTGATAAAATCCAAGAAAACTAGGTCGAGGAGTAGATTAATTCGCTTGCAATTAGTAATTGCAGAAGGTTGTAAGAATAAGGGTGCTCGGTCGAGGCAGGGTTGAAGGATGGCCGACGAATGGGGAAGGTAGATGGAGTCGATGGTGGGAAATCGGGAGAAGTATGCGTTAATTAGGGTCAGCGCTGGCAATTTGTGGATTTGTGGCAAGCCTGGTGCATACCGCCGATGGCTGGCCTCGAGAGATAGTTGCAACCCCTGCGTGCTCGACGTTATTCGTCTACGGTTAACCTCGTTCGTTTGCTGCCAGTTTTGTTCTCGCCTCCTGTAGGCCTACCTTTTCCAGCCATTAATCGTCGAAACCTGAAAGTGCTCGTTAAACACGACGCGTTGTTCGATCGTCCTGGTCTCGAAAATCTCTGTTTTAATTCCATTAAGTTGATCGAATCCGATTTTACAGCAAATATGTTTATTCCTCTGGAGAATTATTCCAGTGATCTCGAATTCTCTGCTCATCCTCTGTATAGGCTCATAAATAACCCCAACTTGTATCCATATAGGTATAGCTGCATTACCCTAAATTGTGGGATCAAGATCCCTGTATCGAATAAAAGGGATTATGGGATGGTGGTGTAGTAGATAAGGTAACCCCAACAGTAGTTCTTATTTCCCATAGATTTCTATAATATTATAAAATCCTTCAAATAATCTCGTTTCGTCATAAACCGAAATCCAGCGTCCCAGACAATCACCGTTCTCCAATACGAGCGGTCACGTTCGAATACAGAATTTCCTTAGGAATTTCAATCGGCGACACAAAAGTTGTTGAAAATTACCCAACTCACGTTCTCGAAATTAATTTCTAAACTAGTTTCCCAACGATTCTAATCAAGCTACGGTAAGCTGTGCCGAACAACTCGGCGAGTTCAGGTGGTTCGATCAAACAGAATTTCCCGAGGAAAAATTTGCCGGATCCTGTAACCGCGGCTCCAGAGATCATCCAATCCGACTTTGACCCGTTGATTGGCTTTCTGATCCGTGTTGTCGAGTAACCGCGACAAGGTTTCCCAAAGTTTCCTGTTTATTCTGGGCCAGTTAAAGGTGAAACGTCGTACGGTTATTTTCCACGATGGTGTATTTACATTTGATCAATTTTAAGCTCTCGTTCGCGCGGACAAGAAATCTTACGGTGTCCCCTTCTGCTCCAACAGAAACTTGCAGGTGGAAAGTTTTTTTCACCTGAAAACTTGTTTCGTAGCCGAAGAAGGGGTGTAACCGGTGCACGGCTCGCGAGTCAGAAAATTGTCCCCGAAGCAACTCTATTTGCCGTTGGAAAACAGGATGGAAGGGAAAAGATGGCGCGATTATGTTAAACGACGCCGCGTTATTGTAGTTGAGGAAACTTCTCGTTTCATTCCGCCCGTGAAACTTCCTTCCTACCCTTCTCGTCGTATTAGTTTTCACTCCGTTCACTTCGAATTTACTTTTCAACTTAATAGATTCTATTTTTAGTACATCGTCGATTATTTAAGGGGGATAAGTTTCTTTGTAAACCATAATCGTCCTCTGTTCACGTTACAGTCTTACCGACGATCTTTCTTCCGAATCAGCTGGTGGGTGCGCCAGCTGGCACCAATTTAACCATCGACTGTAACACGGAGGCTCATCCAAGAGCGATGAGCTACTGGTTCCTAGGTAAGGTTATGATATTGTCGAACGAGAAGTACACGACGAACACCATGGAAAACAGCTACAGGACCTACATGACACTCACCATAAGAAACCTGACGGCCAGCGACTATGGGACTTACCGTTGTATCAGCAAGAATTCGCTGGGCGGCACTGAAAGCTCTGTTAGGATATACGGTAAGAGTAAATTAAAAAAATTATATATTTTTTTATTTTCAAGAAATAGAACTCCGCAAAGAAACGTTAAGATATCACATCTATGAAGTTCGCTTCCTGATCGATGATTCGAAGTAAAATTCATCCCCTAAGCGTCTGAAGAAGGCGGAGTACTCGTGGAATCAGCTCAAAGGGAATCGGCTCTTAAAGTTGAATAATTTTTATTTCAGAAATTCCAAAGCCGTCCGCGGCGCCGAAGGCCATGGAGGACAAGAGCAGCGCCAACAAAGAAGGTGAGAGCCTCATTGAATATATTGCACTTGGAGCCCCTGGAATCGATATCACGTAGGTCCTCTCCGACGCTTCCCTCTTCGTCAAACTCATTATCCGCATTTTATTTTCAAATCGTGATCGGACTACTAAAGTCACTGCTGTTACACTGGCATTATAATTTATCTTTTCTTGAATTGAACAATTACTATTATCCATCGATGAGGTGTTAAGTTTAGATGAACTATCAATTTAAGATCACTTATTCTTTTTAAGTAGTTCCAATGGAAAGTTTCGCGATAGCTTTTTATAAATCAGGATGAATGAATTTCACGAGGAATCAAGAGCACGCTTTAGTAGTCCAAACAATTTAGCCTCTCGTTTCGCGTCCGTATCGATTGCTTCACGCTTGGTCGGAACACAGCAAGAAGCGTTGTACCACTGCATCGAAAAGGCACGTTTTACCCCCCTCGTACGAATACGAGTTATCTTTGCCCGCTAACGACATCCGTTTTGTGTAAATCTCGATTCCATTCGATTCGATTCGCGAGCTCGGTCTTTCCGTTCCGGGACTCTTTTCGCTTACAATGGAGAGCCTTAATTCTGTCACGGAAAATGATACTTGTTACGTAACCGAGAAGACGGGGATCTCCGATTTGATACAACTCAAATCATAATTGCATCGAACTTGAAAAAACACTCGAGCTTTCAATTTGATGCTTGATTAATCACTTAAATCAACACCGGTTAACGTAAGCTAAGAGGCACACAGAGTTAAACGGTAAATAATACCACACAATAGGAGAGGAGGTGAAAATTCAAGCATACTCGAGGACACGAAAGAAACTTCAGCTGGAAAGGTAGGCTGTCCCTGAACGAGCAATTACGCGATGTTTCACGAGCGTACAGAAACGGTTCCGAGCCCTCGGACGTAATCTTTGCATTAGGTGGGCCAGTGGTGTGTGCACACTGTCGGGTGTATTATTAAAGCACTGCGAATAACTTGGGCGGATGCCTAGGTCAGCTCCCTGTGGCACTGGCCCGGTGTTCTCTCAGCGAAACCAATCTCAATACACTGCATTATTAACACTATACAAGGCACCAGCTACGACTGTATTACCACCATTAAGCTTGGCAATTTTACTTTGCAACCTTAACCCAGCAGCCACGGGAAACTGGATGATTGTTAACGTCCCGACGGTTGCTCCTTTACCCGCAGGCGTTCTCCTGGATTTTCGCTAGGGACACCTTCGTTATCCGATCACTTTTTACCTTTACGGAAATTCAGAGGAATTGTTGAACGTTCAATTGTTAGGCTGGGATGCAAATTTAAATCCTTAATTAAGACGGAAGGTTAATTGGTTCGATCGATGTTCAGATGGTTTATAGTTGTTACTCTTATAGGGATATTTTTAAAAAGTCCATTACCATTTTGAAATATAAATGACTGAAAATTGGATATTCGATAATGGACAATACCATGCTGTAAATTGGTTGATCCATTGTTTGTCCCGTCGAAGAACCAGTCATTCCGTATCGGGAATATTGATGAAACGTTTATGTAGCCATTTTCATCAAAGTTTCAGCTTCAAATTGATACGTAACACGCGCTGTTTCGTGGCACTTTTATGTCATCAAATCGCGTCAGACTTTATACGCTTTGAAATTGATCACTCTTCGCTATATCATTATAATTGCTATAATTCGCTTACTTTCGAAAATTTCTAACGCGTTTCCAATTGGCCACCGTATGATTGTGGCTCGATTTCATGCTGATATACGACACGGATGATTGACTGCACAGCAGGAGAGAAACTTTCGTGTGAAATCAGGCCGTTGGCTGCTGTTCGTCGCCTTGCCGGCTCGAAAATCAATCTTAATATTAGCGAATTATTAATGACCCGAGCGTGGCGTGCAATAACTCACGAACAGGACGTTAAGCGCCACCGAACAGTTTCCAATGGGACCTGCTTCCGTCTTATCTGGATAGATAAGATTCAAACAGGAGCCTTTGAGTTTGGCGCATCGATCGGCCGGCTGGTGACACCGCAGCTTCTCTTGTATCCGGTAAAAATGAAACATTTGTTCCAGCCTGATATAGGTAATTATTCAAACATCAACCGGACGTTTTGTGCCGTTATTTCACGTAACGGGCAGGTCGATCTGTTTCGACCTCGTCGACCCACGAGGAACGTTTTAATTTCATAATCAGGACGTTACATCGACGGCTTAACCGGTGACCCAGTTGGACGCATTTAAAATTCAATTACCGTTTTCCCGGCGAGCGGAAGCGGGAATTCCACAGACTAGATTTGCATTGTTGACAGACATCTGATGAAACCACGTTGTTGACTCGAAGAAATCGTCGAGACGTTTGTTAGGGAACAATTTTTCCCTGCAGTACTCCTCATTATGTGTGTAGAATTGTATTACATGATTGATAAGGTGTTTAGTATTTCCATTAATTGTGTATAGTTTAGAGTGTATTTAGTATAGACTTTTTACAAGTAGCTTGACACGTTGATTGTCATTAATTAAAAAAAATATATCTCCATTTCTTTGTGAATTAATTTAAGGACCATCAACGTGTTAACCACCCACGAAATTTCCTAGTAAATTCAAAACGAACGATATTAATCTGTTCGTTAAATAAAAAGCATTTATAGTCTAGCGTATTCGTAGTTTTAATTAGCTTGTTAATATATATGTACACAGTTACATTTAATTGGAGTTTACGTAACGTGGGGTGAAAAGGTAAATCCAAGTTGGTTCAATGGGTGTAAACTGATAAATTCTTATTACAAATTTTCCCCTTCCATATAGTCGATGCGGCACGGAAATCGCCGACCAGCTAGCCCCATTATTTATACCGGCTTATAACTCGTTAAACACCTCTGTAAATCTTCCTTTCAAAAAGCGAACTTTACGATCGCTTGAAATTCTCTCGTTCCATGGTGTTCCGAGGATCCTCTCTCCCTCTGGTGCGTGGCTCGTTCTCTCGACGAACGGTTGGGATTAGCCCCACGAGAATATACGATATTTAATAATGCCTCGACACACTAGTTGCCTCTCGGGACACCCATCGATCCTACCGAACCGTAATTAATTATCGCCGAGCAAGGAGGCTGGAATTATTTCTGGCATTAGCCCCCGGGCTGCGACGTATCCTTCTATCCTACGATCGTTGACCTTACCCATTTTGGGAAGACCGTTTATCGAATTATTGATTTTAAACTCCGTCGAACCGATCGATCTTAACTGGAGCGGTGTAAAATATTGCTTAAAATATTTAACACTTTTATTCCCTTAGAAGAAGTTTATCAATCGAATAAGAGGGTTCTTTATTTCGAGTCTTACCTCTTGACACCGTTCTTCTCACAAGAATCTGTAGGATTTCAAGTCAATTGGACATCATCGAACAGACTGGGGATAACTTGCGACATTAACCACCGGGACAGGTCTCAATTGATACGATAAAAGCAGCACGCGCATAGAATCTCCAACTCTTCGAATTACCTTTCCCTGCGAACGCCTCGAATTAAATTACTTTCGAAGGATATCCGGTCGTTTCCGATTTCGCTCACGGCCGCCGGTCCCGCAAGATTCCGACGCGATCATTCGGGGCAGGAAACGAAATTAATTTCGCGGTTTAACCAGCGATCTCTTAATTCAGCCGCGAGACCGTTTAATAAGTACACAAACGGTACAAAAGCTTCGTTCCAGCCGTCTGTTCCGCATAATGGAAACGTTGGCCCGTCTGTTTCCCATTTAACTCGAGCTTTACCATTTGAACGTTGAAAAGGGTTGAAGACATCCCCTCAGCCGACGGATGTAGGAAAATATTCAATGAAATCACTGATAGAACGAAACGAAATATTTATTTATGGTCTGATATATAAATCCTTGGTAAAGAGATTGCCATTTTCATGGTAGACGCGTTCGTAAGTAAACGCTGTTAAATTTTCAACAAGCTATTCGAAAAGTTTCGGAGAACACGGGACAGGGATGAAACAAGCGGGTGACAAAAGTGTTGACGTTGGAAGTAGATGAAATACGAGGTTGTTCGCGATTGCTCGTCTCCCGTGAAAAGGAAACACCCCGTACAGCGCGGGGGCGGGTTTTGTACACAAACGAGTGGATATGGTCCGTGTTCTTAGCTTGGCGAAGATGGTTGCTCAGGGCGAGCCATATTGTTACCAGTAGAAAAGGTTGATAGAGGGGCTGGCGCGAACGGTACGAAACAAACTTCTGCCTTGGCGTATTTAAACTTTTATTCGAAAACTTTTTAGCACCCCCGCTGCTGTCATTGTCCCTGTAGTTGGCTACGCTGTTTAAATGGTCGCTTGTTTGCTAGGTAGAAATGAAAGAAAGAGGAAGAAGTTCCGGTAGGGAACGAGCTTCCAGGGACACCGTACGGGAATATGGAATACCGTAGGAGAACCATGGGAAGGGAATTAATTGAATAAACTTGAGATATCCTGTTTCGTACCTTTTATTTATATTCTTCGAATTGTTTATTCAATGACAAATCAATTTCGTCAAATTCTAAAGGAAATCGCAATCTTGTAACGCATTCTGTAAGTTGAACCTTCGTTCTCGAGTTCTAAACGATTAAAGATTAGATGCTCGGGGAAACTTGACAAGTTCCTGCAATTATACAGCACACACGGGACAAGCTCGAATATTCCACACGATTATGGGGGTAGAAATAAGTGGTGAACCATCTTACTAGGACGAGACTGTGTATAAAGCGTAACGATACATATAATGGTATACGGGTCCCGTGTCGAACATGAATTCGAATTGCACCCTCGGTTGATGCTCGAAAATTACCATTCTAAGCAAAGTTTCAATCTGCTCTCTGCTAAGACCGCCTCGGGCTACCTTCTGATAATACCCATAGACGTTGGGTTAAAGTCTAATAACTATTATCTTTTTTCCTCTACATTCTGTAAGCTGAAATTTTATTTTACATTACTTTGACTCGGGTACTCTTAGTACAATATTAACGCTGTTCGAAATTATGCTTCCCTTTATTTAATTTTGAGTATGTTAAATTTATGACACTGGTAATCGGTGGTCCTTTAAGGTGTTAATAGGGAAGAAATTATTTATCATTGAAAATTCGATAGATAGAAGGTAAATGGAGTAACAGAGCTGTAATGTTCCGGAATGGAGAGGAAACGGTTTTTCCAGGGTGGTTAGCGAAGTTGAAGGAACTCCCGGACGAGTTGGTCGGAATTAAGTGGACCTCGATTCGTCCGGATAAAAAAGAGCTGTAGAGTATCGAAACGGGCTGAATTCCGGGCGAAGTTCGAGGATCGCTGTGTGCTCTAGCGTCCTTAAAGAAATTCAAGTTTTCAAGCGTTCCTCGAGGGGCGTATTTCGCGTGGACGAACTTCAGATCCTCGACTCGAGGATCCCTGGCCCATGTTCAACTCGTGGAACTTCACATTCATTCGTAGCCTCCGACATAATAATACTTTCGATCCATTTATTCGCGTTTAACCGATATTTTTCTGAATATTTTGAAAGAATCTCGAAACTATTTGCATTCTTCTTTAGAGACGATTAGAGCAACGAGTGTATGTTGCACCGTGCGTCGCCGATTTTCCGGATAGTGCGAAAATTTCTAAGTTCTTCACAGTAATAAAAAGGTAAATGGAAAAAGTACAGACAATCCGTGAAGCGTGAAACAGTGTCGCGATCGTTGGGCCCTTCGAAACGATCGAAAACGGTTCTTTACATTCAACAACCTTGTTTTTCTCTGCGCTCTTTGTACGACTGTTTCGCTCCTACTCTTCCTGTTTTTCTCTGTCGCTTACGAAGCCACGGTTCAATAGAACGTCCGCCAGCATCGAACGCAACAAGTTGAACTTGGCTGCTTTTCAAAGAAATTGCCGGAATTCATCAAACCGCCAGTCTGGCCGACTGTGGCTGTTTTCAATGCGTCCACAGCTCGAAACAGCACTATCTGAGCGCGTTACACGCGACAAAACGATCCTCGATGCTTGACCACCGTTTCCTTTCGTGGATCGCGCCTCTGCACCGCTATTTCTCGTTGAAAACGTTCACACCAATCCCCCGTATCGCTTGTTACACATTTCGTCTGATCAATTTTGCGGAAATTTCATCGTCCGTTGATTGAACAATGAAAATTTAATTAAGATGATTTTTTAATCTTCTCAATTACTGATCAATTTCGCTGATTCCTTATTACATTACCAAATACAAGCATTTCACGATATTAGGATTCGTACTTAAGGAACGTGTCCACTTCTCTGAACCGGATAGAAACTCGAACGCTTCCTTAGTTTACTGCGGCATCGAATTAAGCTTCCATGGTTACGTAACGAGCGCGCAGCTGTGCGAAATTCAATTAAGAAACAGAGAAATCGCGGTATGCTAGGAACTGCGATACCTTTAGCCACCGAATTCAAACGGAAGTGTCATACGAGACGGCCCTGTATGGTGTGGAATAGTGCACGGGGGCCAGGCATCGACGAGTGGGATTTAGCACGCATTAATAATTAAATAATAATTCATATAAATGTTTTAATGAAATCCTACTCATAAAACCCTTGTAACTTGAAAGCAAAGCCAGATAGGAGAAACGTTTATATGAATTTTTGTATTATATTTGTGTGCCCTCTGCAACACTGAAGTTACATGCGCATAATTATGGTACATAAGAAGAAAAGTAAAAAGGCAATGTTTTGTAAAGAGAGTAAAGAGGAAACAATGAGGGGAAGAAGAGGGAAACGGAGAGAAAGAGAGAGAGTGCCTGGGGTTAGATGAGAAAGGTCCTAATCTATTTTCAGGACAACCGAGTACACCGTCACCAGCAAAAAGGCCGACCACCGTATGGCCCTCCTCGTACAACCCGTACTATACGAAAAGGACAGAGAGGCCGCCTCCCCCGAGCGAGGAGAGGGTCGAGAGGCCAGAACAGAAGCTACGTGGTGGCCAGAGCACAGGTGAGGCTTGCATATCTCATCTGGCCCTCCCTCTCCCGCTCTTTCTTTCGTTGCTCGTGTCTCTGTGTGTTTTTCACCGATTTTGTTCGCTACAGGACAGCTCCCGAAGACGATTGAACTTTTGCACACCGATATACGCACCCTCTAATTAAAACACAGGGTGTCACTATTTAATAGTCTAAAAGAAATCATCAGTTGAGGAGATATTCGGTGATTCAGGGTGATTGATCATTGAAATATTAATCAAAATAATTTAAATAATTACTTGCACCTCTAATGCACACCCTTGTCATCTTGCCATAACGATATAATTATCATTTTATTTCGCGCTAACAAGGTATCGACGTGCAAAAGCTCATTAGAATCTGAAAGTGTCACTTCGATAGCTCTCCCTGTACGCACACCTCTATTTAAACCACCCCTGTTATCATGCACTATTCTGCACCATGCACCTCGCTCGCACCAGCTCGTTATAAATTCGTTATAAGGCGTGAAACTGATCCGAGAATGATAGGTAACCGAGGAAGTAATTAGGAATAAAGGGAGTTTAAATCAACGATGTTGATTTTGTCGAGCTCCTGAACGTTTCTAAAGCGTGTAAAGTATCTTTCTTTTTTTATTTTTTTATTCTATTTTACCTGTTCAGGATCGAGTTTAAGGAAGGAAAGTTTGCAGTACAGTTACGAGCGATCAGCTCGACTCTGGCCAGGTAAAAGAGAATACGTGTCCCGTAACTTTATCCGCTCTAGAAAAGCTTGAACTTTCCTTGAAATCGTTATTGGACGCTCCACGAGGGCGTGAACAATGTTTTATGTTTTCGACGGCTTGAATATTCTCGATGAACGAGGATTATGGTAAAGAGAATTTCGTAGGAGTCGATGGAAATATCGCAGCTTAAATTTTTGTTGTCGCTCATTGTATTCGGCTTCGATTAGTAGCTTTTTTAGCAAATGCTTAAATGTAACATTTTTCCATTTTCATAGGTTGCTGGTTGCGAAAGGGTTAAAAACGAACCGTGAAATATCAAATTTCACGGTCAACGCATGAAACTTGAACGTTTAACGTTCTCGTAATCCCCCTTTCTTCCCTTTCACTGTATTTCTAATTGTTCTGGGGCTCGTTTTTTTTTTCGCGCGAAAGGAACAACCCCGTTGCGAAACACCCTGACACAAATTCATCGTTGAGACTGAAATTTAAAAGAATGGCCGCTTTTTCTTGCGGTCTCCAGCCGCGCATAATGCGCCGCGTGTTTACAGAAACGCTTGCGTAGAGAAGAATTTAGCAAGAGAAAATAGAGGAGAAAAGCGAGCCCGCAGGCTATGCGAAATCCGCGGTGTTACATTTCTCCTTCGCCTCTTTTCTCATTTACGCAAACAAGATCTCACCTCGGCTTCTTTATGACCCTGAAAATGGTGGCGGTGTAATTGCGCGAGCGCGCGCTAATTCGGAACCAACAGCTCAAGATTTTCACTCCCCCCCCCCCTTTCTTTTTCTCTTACTTATGAAAACGAGACAGAAATAGCGTTACAGATGCGCAAATTATAATGCAAAGTGTTGAACGTCGCGGAAGTAAGGTTTGCTACAATTTTTCTAAATTTTAAACTGATGACAAACATTTTTCTCTTCAACCATTTCCCAAAGAAAATATATATTTTTTTTTGAAGATTTATTTTCATAATTAAGGAGACTCTTGATTATCAATCGTTTGACGAATCGTGTGGTTCAAAAGATCGTTTCTAATAACCCAGGTGATCTACTTCAAAGCGTACGCTAGTAGCGTGCGATCTAGCCGTTTTGATGAAGCGCGGAATAGATGAATGGCTATTCGGATCGTTAACGAGATAACGAGCTTTACTGAAACGTTCCGGGAAGCTATTTCGTGGCGGTGCCATTAAATTCGAACCGGAACTGTGGACCGATCGAATGAAACCCTTAATAAGACGTTTGGACGTTAATGAGCAGTGTAGGGCACCGTATTTATCTTGATGATCGTAATGAACTGATACACGTTCGATTCACGACGACTTAATTGAAAGTTTATCGATAAATAGCAAGTATTAGTTTCAAACGATCTGCTACTTTGATTTAACTACAGTTATTTTCAATCTTATTTGATAACATATTGGAAAAGAATAAACTACTAGATTCTTTGACGTATTTGTCGTTTCGTTGTCGCGATACAAATAGGTCGATGCACGCAGCAGCATCGTCCATAAAATATACCCGAGGGTGTTATCAGCCAGCGATCCGTGTCACCGGTGAGGCATCGTACCGGTTGTTCCCCATTCATTTTCATTCATTAAAACCCGTTAGCGACGCGATATTTTACCGTTGCTTCGGCAAAGAATCAACGAGTCTGTTGGAAATCTGTCAATTAAACCGGGACGAACTTTCGGTGTTTCGTCTTCCTCTCATTGGTGCCACGAATAGCCAGACCTCCGATCGGTTATATCTGAATACTAGATGTTGTTCCGTCTGGGTCGATAAACCGTGGCTGTGGCGATACGATTAGACGCGTGAATGACAGAAATTAACAGCTTGATTGCCAGGCTGGTCATCGGTGATCGACGCTATAAATTTAATACATTCATTTCGTAAGGGTAGCAAATGGAATGTTTAAACTTTATTAAATCTTATTAGCACGGATTGAAAGGCGGTATGGAACGTGACCGATTGTTCAGTTTCCCCGGTGAAAAACTGTTCGGAAAATTTTACTTCTATTCCGTGACATCGGTGCACGGGAAATCGATGGCATTTGCGAAAGCTTGGCTGAAACTCAGTAAGCACGTACTTCCGGTACTGCCGAGGGAAACTGTCGCGTGTACCGGCACGTGCAAAGTTCCGAAAAGAGGATATTCCAAAAAGTATCGTAAATTCGAAAAATCAACTTGCATTAATAATTATTAAAGAAATTGAAAAATCATCAGTAGTCCAATTCGCGATGATTATAATCCACCCTCCTTTTCTCGTACACCAAACAGGTAACAGTTCAATCTATTCTTCCCTTTACACCCCTCGTCGGTGCGCGCACGCATTCACCCAGTAGCACCCTAAAAGCGCAACCCGCCAGGTGGCTATACCTCGTTCCCCACTACCCTTTGGGATAATGCTCGAGAGGGGTGTAGTTAATATTAACGGCACGCTATAGAGACGGCGCGTGTTGTTCCTACGTAATTTCCTACTAAACGTACTAAGGGATGCCCATGCATATTTCAAAACGGTAGCTACGAGATGCTACCCTCTCTATGTGTCTCTCTATCCGTGTGCCAGTGTCTTTGCGATAGCTTGGAGACCCGCTTAAAAACAGACACCACGAAATGGTGTTCGATTATTGTACCCTTTTGTTATGACAAAGACGAAGAAGACCGCGATAGCGAGACAAAAGGCTGAGATAAACCGCGCTAAACGTTAACCCTTTTCTACGCTCGCGAAGCTAAAAGGATGACGAAACTTTGCTAGGATTTTGTATCGCTAAAAAGAAATTTTTCTGTATATTTTCCAGTCGAATGTTTGGAATACTTCGATAGCTGCAACGGTGACTGCAGTCAGTCGTAAGAAAAGCAATGGAATCGCTGGGTAACAGCTTTCCTGCACCGACTTATTTCACTATTTTATTTAGATTAGATGGTCCTGGACGGCTAGGTAACAACTGTCGACCGAAGGAAACGCATTAAAGCGAGATGAGCCAGGAGGTTGCGGGACACGTAGAGGAACACACACGGGGGCAAAGGGCATCGATGCACCTTTAATGCGCTCCGGTGCATCGACGAATCGAACGATCTCTGCCAGCGTACTAGTGTACCTTGCATGTTTCATGGGGATTCGCGTTTCCCCTGTATCGACGTAGAAGAATCAAAAGGGACATAAATTATTCTCGAGATCCTCTATGCTCTCTTCTTTCTTTCAAATCTCTGCAATATTTTTAATTGATTGCTTAACATTTTCGAAACTTTGCAATCGGTACTCGAAATAGAAAATTTCATTTTATTATCACTGGTTTATCGACGAAAGGATTAAACATCCATGCTGAAATCATAGACAGTAAAAAGTTTCCTATCTTTGAAAATGGACCTCCCTGGAGGGTGAGTGTAGTTCGCGGTAATTTCCATCAGCATCTCGAAAATTCCTATTTCCCGGTTCGTATCGGGGCCGTCGACAAAAAGCATTAGTGGTTCTGCATACTGGCGCGTCTAATCCATGAACGCAATGTAATCTCACGAGCGGTTGATGCTGCTAATGGCTGCCACACCAGGCATCCTCGATTCCTTGAAATTTCTAACAAGAAGCGTTCCATCGCGTCTACGTGTCCACCGACGCGCCTGCCCGCCCAGAAATGCAGTCTAATTTCAATTTTCCTCGCTCCTCTTATCATTAACATCGGTTGACCCTTGGTAAATTTCAGCTTTACCTTCTTGCCTCGCAGCAAACACGTAAGAAATTTCTTGAGACACTACCTTTTGCGTTAGAATTTTGAATCTTAAATCAATCTTCGATAGGCACTTAATGAAATCTTGAAAGAATCGCGGTATCGACGATCTGTTTCTTTCGAATTGCAGAGGCAACTTGTAAGCTTGTCTCGATAAAGAATCAAGGAATCCTCAGCAGCTCGTACGGATCCGGTGTTACGCGGTCTCGAGCGTTTCTCCGAGCTTCGTAACGCGTAACTCTCGTTTTGTTCGTAGTTTTCCTCGTGATTGCATTTCCCCCAGCTAGCTAGCACCGTTCGCTATCTCCGCCAGACATCGTTCCCGCCTTTAAAGAACATCTCGCGAGCTTCTCTACGTTGTACCTACCGCTCGTGCCACGTCGTTTCTCCCGAACGTTCTCGCAGCAAGCTCGATAACCGGGTAATGCCTCCGACAAACACCGTAGCCACGAGTTTTCCTCGATTTTCACGCGAATATCCTGGATACTTGGAACTCTTCTCTCACCGTTATCCAGCGAACAAACGTTCGACCAACTATGCGCACGGTGCCGATTTCTTTTCCATTCCTCTCGTT